GTTTTTTCGGCAATTACAACTCCATGAGACGGGATGAATACAACAATAAAAACTCAGAAGATATTCATAGCTTTGATGGTATTCTTAACTCAGAGAATATTGACTTTGTAATGGTAAGTTTCTTGAAAAAAATGACAAAAATAATAAAAATTGTTCGTCATTTTTTTCAGGACTGAACTCGCGAATATATTATCGAAATTTGGAAAAACAGGCCTAACGTTGTTTATTTGTTTGGGAACAGGTAACCGACCATTTCTTATTTGTTCGGGAATAGAAAACCGAAGCAGCAACCGAAGCAGACAAACAAAGGAAGTCGGACCACCCTTGGGTGGTCAACCAATCGGTTGACTAAGGAGTCGACTGGTGGGTGAAATCCTACCTAATTTTGCTCACATAGAGAGCATACAAAATACAGTGAGGCCATGGATAAATGATAAAAAACAAATCAAAAAAGTATGAAAGTGGATTGTGTTATGTGTATGAAAAAAATAATAATAAAAAAATCAAACGGATTAGCAAATCTTGTAATAAAGTAGAGAAAAACCTTCTTAATCACCACAAAAAAAAAAATTTCACTGGTTTTGGAAGGTTTTACCGTCGTGAGTTTTGTTAGGATTTTGGGAGAAAGACTTTTGGTGGTGTGGAAGTGTGGTGGTATGCATTTGAATGGATTGAATATTTTTGTAAGGATAATTTTGATTTTATTTGGAGGAAAAAAGAGATTTTAAGGAATTTTATAATTTATAAGTAGAGATTCAAATAAATAAAAGATCTAAAATAATTAGTGGCGTACTAATAACCACACTCGAAATATAAGCTATCGTTGATTAGGGGATTGTTTAGGGTTTCCTAAATAAGTACACTTTTTTATCTTTTTGGACAAAAAAGTTGAGGAAAAAAATATGGTTGTTTGGGTTTACTTTTTGACTTTTTATGAAAAAAAATGTATTAAAAAATTATATAAATTAGTGTGTAGGAGAAAGTAGAGAGAGTAGCAGTATGGCCAACCGTCTTGGGCAGAGGCAATTGACATAAGGAATGGTTGCCTCATTTGCGGGCATTGCATTGGATTGTGATGTTTGGTCCGTGGGGGCCCACCAAGGGTCCCTTTTTGCTAATCGAAACTGTTCAATATGTAGAACTCGTCGATTATTATATACTTGTAAAAAATCACGTTGATCGGATATCGATAGTTATCTGATCGGATTGATTTTTTTCAATTGTTAACTATAACACCATCCATTTTTTTTTATATAAAACTGATTTGATCATATAGTTACGGATATCCGATCAACATGATTTTTTATAGACAGATTATCAAAACGGGATCCGTGATGGCCCCCCACAGGCGGAACAACAACTTGCTTTTTGTGCAAAATGGTTGTACAATGTTTTTAAAAAAATTAGCTTCACTTGTGGACGTCAAACTGATTTTTATTATTTTTTGTGTAAAATTATTTTTTTTATTATTTTTTTTATGAATAGTGATAATTTTTTAATTTTTTTGTAATTTTTTAACTTTTTAAATTATTTTGAAGATGTCGGGCTACATATGAGAGCATTAATTGCCGATTGAGGAACAAATTCTTGTAACCATTATTGCTCGTGAATAAATAGCCAACAAAATTAGGCAACCAAGCTGATAATTTTTTTTTTTGTGTATAAATTACACTTACATCTTTGAGGTTTGAATTTAATACACATCACTCTCTAATATTTGAGAAATTACATTGACTCCCTTGTCATTGTAATTATTTGGATGCAATTAACATTGGTATAAAAAAAAAATATTGAATTTCATGCACTTTCTCTTTTTTTTTTTTACTTTTCTTTACATCTTATATATATATATATATATATATATTTTCCCCCTTCCTTTACCTTTTTATTTTTCTATCAGGAGTTACTGTCTTTTTATATAAGTAGGGAAGTTTGTGAAATGACACGATTAATCACAGGAGTGAAAATATAATTTTTTAAACTTCAAGAGGTAATATGTGTTAAATCCAAATCTCAAAAGGTATCAGTGTAATTTATCCATTTTTTATTTTTTATATAAGTTGTATTATCAAAGAGAGTGGGTGCAGAAAATATTTAATCAATGTTGCCACAAAAAAAAGCTAGCACATAGTTATAGCTTCCCACCTGTGACAATTTCTTTCCATTATAATGGCCACGTTTGGAAAATTTTTTATTTTAGTAAATTAAATTTTTTATATTTAGAAAGATGATTAGATTTTTTTATAATTGAATGTGATGTTTTTGAAAGAAAAAATAAAATAATTATAAATTTAATGTGATATTTTATTAATTATTTTAATTTATTGTATCTTATGGTAAATCTTAGTCGTAAAAAATTCCTAAACCTACGTTTCAAACAGGCCAATGTCAATCTGCTAGCCAGGCTGGGAATCGCTGAAGAAGGAAACATGCAAACAAATACATATATAGACATCACGTCCTCCATTGCTTTTATTTTTGGATCTTGAATTTGTGAGTGGTTTGTAGAATGAAAAGAAAAGTAGTGGTGGTAGAGATAGTGACCACGGTGGTAGTTTGGCGGAGTGGTGGAGGCAATAATGATTGTTGTGCAAGTTTATTTCTATACTTGGTGCAAGTTTTTATTGGCTCCGTTTGGGAAGAGAGGTTTGGAGTTTTTTTGGCTAAAATAGTTACAAAAAACAAAATAAGTTTTTTAGCCCAATAAGACAAAACATCACATCCAACACATAATCATTACATTCTTTCTCTCACAAAAAAGTCAAAAAAATTAAAAAAGCTGAAAGCCTTTCCCAAATTAGGCTTTTTAGCCCTAGGTTAAAATAATTAAAAAAAATAAAAAAGTCAAAAAGCCAACCCACTTTCCAAACGAAGCTATTGTGTATAGTTATAATAACAAATATTTTAATCTATAGTGTAATTATTTTCTAACTGTCATACCTATTTGTAATTTGTCCAAAAAAAACATGATAATATTCATCAGATGTCAAAATATCATTTTTCTGTTATGAAACATTTATGAATTCCGAATTTATAAATAAATTTGTGAAAGAAAAATAGAAAGAAAAATTACAAATCAATAATATCTTCATAAAATATTTACAAATTCATGAAATAATATATAATTTTAATTACTAAAACTAATATAAAGTTTACCATTTATTTGAATCTTTTTTCGAGTAATGATATATAAATAGAAAATTCATATAAAATTTTTATACATAATGATATGACTAAATGGTGACCTTTCATTTTAAAATAAAATATCATAAAGATGTTTTATATTTACAATAATGCCGCTATTCCATCATTCTTGTGGTATTTTTTTATTTGTTTATAAATAGCATTTTTCTTTTTTAAAAAAAACATGCATAAAATCCAATTTTCCCAAAATAAAATGAAAGAGATTTGCAAAAATTAAAAAAAGAAAAACTTGTTTCATTTCACAAATTTCTGCACAAATCAATATTCAAACACAGTTTAAAGTGCTGTTGACAAGATCAAGTAAACAGATTTTTTTACCTGAGAGAGCATGTACGGATTTTACCTTTAGCTCGATTGTTGCAGACTTAGCCAATAGATAGAGAGATTTCAGAGAGCTCTGATCGAATCGAACAAAGCCAAAACCTGTGAGCAGTACCTGCTTTTTTGCAGCAGTCTGCCATTTGACGCTCTATCTACATTGCATGCAAGCTTGTTTTTTTTATCATTTCATTTTTTTTTTTTTTTTTTGGTTTGGTTGAACCCCACACACATTGCAGTATTTCTTTTTCTCTGGGTTTGTTGATTCAATCCACTTCAATTCAATTAATACCCAAAAAAAAAAAAAAATTTAAAAAATGGTGTGACAGGTAACAACCACCAGCACATCTCTTTCTATCTTTATCTACCCTCCACCATGGAGAGGACCATAACATATGGTTGGTGAGGTTTGTTTAGAAATATGGTTCAATTAGAGAATTTTTTAATTTTTTTATCTCAATTCATATGGCTCAATTGAAGACGGTCAATCCAAGTCAATAATTGTAAAAACCTAACATAATGGATAAAATAATAAATTTACAGTTAGAGAACTTAAATCATGTAAACAAAAACTCATTTTCTTACCTATAATATATTAGATAACTTACACTCTACAAAAGCACTCATATTCTTCTCCATCCCACATTTTAAAATAGTGAATAAAAAAAGTGACTGTTTGATTATATGGTTTAAATCGTTCAAATTTTAAAATATATTTTGTGTCCATAAAATTAGGTTTCAAAAATTACTGATTTGGACAACATTCTCAAATTTAACCATATTCGTTAAAATAAAAAATGCAAAAGATTAAATAAATAAAATAAATAATTTAAGAATGAAATTAAAAAAAAAAAGTAGTGTTATTTTTTTTAATTACAATTTTGTCCAAATATGAAGTATTTTTACCCTCATCCGTAACTTTCTAACCTTAATTTTCCAAACTCTAACCCTAATTATACAATCCATTCACAGCCACCATCTTGAACTCCCACCCCCCCCACCAGCGACCTCCTTCATAGCCATCACCCCCTCTTCAGACATTCCTCGTTGCCGATCCTCTTTCTCACCGTTGCTTATCCTCTTTCATCGGCTCTCGCCATCGTCCCATAACATCTCGTCGAGCTTCGAAACCCAGACCCATCACGAACCAAACTCACATTTTCCACTACGAGAGAGAGAAAGAACTCTAGGTACGAACTGGGTCCCTTCGTTGTTGCGTGAACCAGTCATCATTCACCATCGTCGCCTCTCATCTCCTCTATTTTATAATCTTTCTTCTTCTACCCTAGATCTCTTTTTCTCTTATACATGGCATTGGATTTTAGAGATGAACTGGGTAGCGGTAATGGGGGTTTGGGGGTTTGATGCGATGGTGTCGGACTAGTTTATGACGACGCTAGTTATGGTAGTGGCGAAGCCTGAGAAAGCATGATGGAGGGGGAGTAAGAAAGGTTGTCTACGGTGAAGGGCTGTCGACAATGGCAGGGGTTGCCAAAAGAAGAAAAGTTGGGAGTCTAAAGAATAGGCGTATAGTTGGTATTAATGTGGGAGTTCAAAAAGAAGCTAAGGGTTTCAATTACGTGAGTGAGAAGTCCAAAAGAACATTTTGCAACACACATTAAAAAATGTTGATAGTTCCCAACCTTGCCCTTTCTCTCTTATTTAGATTATTAATGTGGGGGTTCAAAAAGAAGATGAGGGTAGAAGTGTAAAAATGGCCTGCAGTCCGTGGGCGGCCCGAAGCTCGTCTACGGCCCGTGTTAAGCCCCGAGCCCAACCCGAGACCCTAGGCCAGGACTTGAGCCTAAGCTTGAGCCATCATTTTAAAACCTGGCCCAGCCCGTTGGCCCGCTCAAGGTTCGGCCTACCCCGAGGCCCGATGTCTTTTTTAGTGGAAAATAATAAAATTTTGATAAAAAAAATTTTTTAAAAAATGTTCAAGCCTGTCCAAGCCCGAATACCCCCTGGGCCTAATTTTCTGACCCATGACCTGGTTCGAATTTTGATGAGAGCCCGCGAGTCTTGACATGGGTCAGGCCGAGCCAAATTTACACCATTAAATGAGGGTTTCAATTATGTGAGTAGAAAGTTCAAAATAAATAAATAAAAACATTTAGCAACATGCATAAAAAAAAATTGTGGAGAGTTCCCAATCCTGCCCCTTCTCCCTTATTTAGATTGTTGTGGATGTAAATTACAATTTGTATTTAAAAAAAAAAAATCAACTTTTTGCCAAGTGATCAAATGCAAAATTCAACTTGTACACCATTGACATTTTGGTAAACTTCAATTCTACCTAACTTTTTTTTTTCTTTTTTTTATTTTTTTGTGTGATTAAAATGAATGTCTATTTGCTATTCATTTTTAAAAAAATATTTTTTATGTTGTATTTAATTAATTAAATATTATATAAAAAAAATTTAAAACTCATTTACAGTACTTTTTCTCCTCTCCCTCTCTCTTCTTTTATTTTATTTTTGTAAGAAAATAAATAAAACAAACAATTTTTAACAAAAACATTTTAAAATAAACAACCATTTTTGGATTTTTTTTTTCAAATCAAAAAATACGAAGCATAAGTTAAAAGTATCTTATTTTTAAATTTTTGGATTTTTTTTTAAATCAAAAAATACGAAGCATAAGTTAAAAGTATCTATTTTTTTAATTTTTAAATAACTAATTTTTTAAAATTATTTAAATTATTTCTATTTAATCAGGGTTGGGCTTGAGCCCCCAAATTTCATCAAATTAAGCACCTCCATATAATTTTAATTCTTACGTGTTATTAGGTTTAAAAATAAAAAAGCTCAAATCAACCAATTTAACTTTACAATCCAAATTAAAGGTATTTAAATTTCATTTAATTTGGTATCAAATTTGAGTAAAAATTTTGATTTGATATAAACTATTCTAACCTTTCATCAAGTTTTTATCAACATTTATTTTTTAAATTGTTCTCTTATTCTAAATTTTTGTTTTAATCAAATTTAATGGAAAAAATCATCTCCAATGCTTTATCTTTTTAAATTTTCATCGAATTTAAATTTGATGAATTCTCAATCTGATAAAAAAATATTTCTCCTTTAATTTAATAAACATTTAATAAAAAGGTTGGGCCAACTTAAATGACTCAAAAAACTTATATTTATAGATCATATTCAGGTCTTGTTTGGGAAGAGAATTGTAACAACCCGACCCTCATGTGTGCTTGTGATATATGTTAGTCCTTTATTCTGTGCTGTTAAATGCCTAACAATGTTGTAATGCCTTGCGGAATGAATTGTATCTGTTAGGAAAGAAATGTATCTGTTACTACTAGAACGATAAAGTAGAAATTGAGGACCTGAGCGGCTTAATAAGTCAAAATTGATCATACATTTGGAACCAGCATAATTTTTAGGTAATATTAAGCACTTCTGTGAAATTTCAATTTTCGGATGTGTAAACGATTGATTTTCGTCTCATTCTCTCTTTATGGAAATATATGAGTGTTCTTGGCCATTTGACAAGCTATAGAAATATAACTCCAAACTTAAGAGTTGAAGAGGTAGAGAGAGAAGGTCCTCAAGAAGGTTGAGATTTGGGCTTAAGGTATGTAAATGTTTGTCTAATTTTCATTTACAACCCTTCTTGTCATAATTTATGTGAAGATGTTTCTATAATCATGTACCTAAGAGTTGGGATTGTAGTGATGTGAGTATGAGACGTAAATTAGCAAGATGATCTTACCTTGCATGTTTTGACTCAATTTGAAGTATCTATGAGAAACTTTACTCTATTTCTTCAATTGGCTTGTTTGAATTTAAATATGTGGCATGATTTTATGTTTATGAGTTGAGATGTGAGAACAAGTAGGAACCTTGTGAATGAGAGTGAATTTAAGTTGTGGATTCATGATTTGATTTTTACTCAAATGAAATATGTAATTTGATCCTTGTTCACATGTATTCATATGCTTTGAGCTTATATATTGGTAATTTAAAGCTGGATTTTGAGGCCCTAAACATGTCTACAAGAAGAGGAAATTATACAGAATTTTCGGACTTTTTGGTGCAGAATCGCCACACGTGCGGGGCCTAAGGCCGCACGTGCGGGAACCTCAGCCGCACGTGCGGGAGTCACTGCCGCACGTGCGGGAAAATGGAAAATTTTGGGAATTCAACACTGCAAAAAAAGCACGTGCGGGGCCTCAATGCCACACGTGCGGGAGGTGTGCCGTACGTGCGGGAGATCCTAGCCGCACGTGCGGCTCAAGCCAGAAAAGTTGGAATGCTCCGTTTTGCGTGTTGGGTCCTCTAATGTTGTCAAAACCTGCCATTTATATTGTTTGAATGTTCGTTAATTCAATCAAAGTAAGAGAACCGAATGTTGATTTGACAAAGATAAAAGGGACTAATGTGAGTTTTCATGTGTGTAGGAAACACCTCAAAAGGAAGTGCACCGACACAACACAGTGAGTAATAGTACCTTAATGTACCTCTACTCAGTATTTATTTTTATTGTCGTTGTGACCCTTGTTGAAAGTGTTATCGTATTATGTATTGACATTATGTCTTGACGTTACGAACTTCATTATCAAACTTGTGTTGGCAATATTTGCTATAAGTGATTCAATACGAAATTGTGGAAACATTGAAAAAGGGTGTGAAATTGTACACATCTTATGTGAAAGCTTGTGACTAATGGAATATATCAAGGCAATTGTGAACTCGTGAACCAATGTGGCTTAGAGCCATTTGTGAACCAATGTGGCTTAGAGCCATTTGCGAGCCAATGTGGCTACGAGCCTAATGTGAAACTACGTGACCTAGGGTCATTTGTGAATTGTGAATCAATGTGGCCAAGGGCCATTTGTGAAGGATGAAATTATGAGGCGAAGGCCCGATGTGTGAAATATGAACTTATATTATTGTAAGCTTCTGAATCAAAAAGAACCAAAGGTCTATGTGATGAATTGTAAATTATGAACCCAAGAACTCTTTCCTGAATGTGTGAAGTTCTTAGGCCAGGGGCCACATTATGAAAATTATAAACCGGTTATGTTGTTCCAACAAGCTGTACAGAGACTGACTGATTGCATGATTTCAGCATTAATTATGTTACAAGCATACCAGTACTATTGTTCACTGAGCTTGGCTCACCCTGTGTTATGCCTGTTTCTGTAGGTAATCAACCAGGAGGTCGATCTTAACTCGGTACCATCATACTTTTGTCAGCCTAGGCACAGCCAAGCTTGGGGTCAGGACCCTACTTTTGCGGAGTTGTTAGATGATGGCTTACACTTTTGCTATTGGCTTAAGTTAGTATGTACTTAATAATTTTGTTATATACCCCACCTCGGGGTTGGATTTGTATATGCCTGTAAATAACTAACTCTCAAATGTATTTTGGCTTTTGATGTACTTGTCCTATGAAATGTTTATGATCCTGGCATGACTTAGTAGCTCAATGGATGTCATATTTTATGGTTTATATAACTTATTTGTTTATAGTTTCCGGTCAGGGCCCCTCTATGAAATCAGGTTAAGTGTCCTTTTCTGCTTAGGTCATGCCCAAACTTTTAGGGGCAAGTCTAGGGCGTGACAATATGTCTTCAAATGTTTTCACACTCTCATTATGCATCATGTTCTGCTTCATCTGCTCCCAAGAATTTGGCAGAGAGCGTATCACAGCCTGTACTTGCCACTCTTGAGTCAAATTGTGCCCAGCAGCCACAAGCTCACGTATCATGGCTGACATGACTCTCAAATGCTGCTTCATCGAGTGATGCACCCTTTTCTGATATGAGTCAAACTTCATAGTCAGCCCACGTAGCTTTGCCAAAGAGGTAATACCAAACTTTTGCTTGAGAGCTTCCCACATCTCAAATGCAGTCGGGCAATGCTCAAACTCACTAATCAAGTCGTTGTGCATGCTGCTCAACATAGTAAAGCGCGCACACCGATCTTTGTTACGCCAAGTCTGAAAGACTTCAAGATCACGACGATGTTGAGCTGTATTGCCCTGCTCTAGCTCAACCATCACTTGTTCAAGTGTGGTCAACACCTCTTGCTCATTGAGGAGGTATTGGATCTTACGGCGCCATATATCATAATTGTCGCCATCCAATTTCTCTCCCTTAGTTAAGTCTGCCACCACTGACTTAGCAGCCATTTCTACATACAGAGTAAATAAATGCGCAGGGGATATTAATGATAGCAACACAAAACAAAATATTTTGCAGCAAAAACCCACATATGTTGAGGTGCTAGAAAGGGCTGTTATCGCAGAAGGAAATCTTGCGGCCCAGAATCGGATTTCCGAGTGGAAAGGGAAGAGACAAAACAACCAATGGTCAAAGAGATCCGTTACTCCACCCGCTAAGAAGCACAATTCAGGGAACTTCAGCACCACTACTTCTACTCAAAATTCCACTCCGGTGTGTCCAGACTGTGGAAGGCAACATCGAGGAACTTGTCACTGGAAGACTGGAGCATGTTTTAAATGTGGAAAAACGGGACATTTGGTAAGGGATTGCCCACAATGGGCTCAACAAAAAGGCAATAGATCCGCTACAAGTTTCGCGGGGTCTACACTAACCCGTAATGCGAAGGCGGCTGCCAAACCGAGTAATAACAAAGACATTGCAAGACAAGGTAGGGTGTTCGCTTTGGTTCCAGGTGATGTACAAAACACAGCAACAGTGGTGTCAGGTACATTTACTATTTGTGGTCAATCTGCGCATGTATTGTTTGATTCTGGCTCCACTCACTCTTTTGTGTCGAAACTCTTCGCTCCTAATTTAGATAAAATGGAAGAAAACTTACCTTACATGTTGTGTGTGTCCTCCCCTTTGGGAGTGTCTATGCTTTGTGCTACTATATACCTAGCTTGTGAACTTCAACTTGGGGATATTCGGGTGTATGCTAATTTAGTGCCTCTTGATATGACCTATTTTGATGTTGTTCTGGGGATGGATTGGCTAAGTGCTTATGGTGCGACTATAAACTGTGTGACTAAGCAAATTAATTTCTATCCTCCGGGGCAATCAGAGTCTATGGTCCAAGGGCGGGAAGTGATTTCGCCACCTTATCTGATATCTACCGTGAAGGCTTGCAACTTAATACGAAAAGGCTGTCAAGGGTATCTATGTAGTGTTTTGGGAGGGCAAGGGATGAATGGGAACATTGATGTGATCCCAGTGGTCCGTGAATTTCCAGATGTTTTTTCTTGAAGAATTGCCGGGCCAACTAATAGACCGAGAAATCGAGTTTATAATTGAAGTGGCGCCTGGAATCCAACCCATTTCGAAGACACCCTATAGGATGTCACTGGCTGAAATGAAAGAATTAAAGGTTCAATTACAGGATCTGCTTGACAAGGGATTTATCCGCCCGAGTGTATCTCCTTGGGGTGCGCCGGTATTGTTTGTGAAAAAGAAGGATGGAACACTTCGGTTATGTATCGACTATAGGGAACTGAATAAGGTGACAATTAAAAATAAGTACCCCTTACCACGGATAGATGACCTATTTGACCAGTTACAAGGGGCACAAGTTTTCTCAAAAATTGATTTACGGTCTGGCTACCATCAAGTGAAAGTTAAAGTCGATGATGTGGAGAAGACAGCTTGTCGAACCCGGTACGGCCATTATGAATTTTTGGTTATGCCCTTCGGAGTTACAAACGCACCAGCAGCATTTATGGATCTAATGAATCGCGTCTTCAAGCCCTATCTAGACGAATTTGTGATGGTTTTTATTGACGACATTCTTATATACTCGAAGAGTGCAGAAGCCCATGAGGATCACCTTCGCTTAATTCTTCAAACACTCCGGGAGAAGAAACTGTATGCAAAGTTAACGAAATGTGAATTCTGGCTACAAGAAGTGGCATTTTTGGGGCATGTGGTAACAAAGGAAGGAGTCTCTGTTGATCCACACAAAGTTGAAGCAATTGTGAATTGGCCAACTCCCACTAATGTAACTGAAATGCGAAGTTTCATGGGGTTAGCTGGATATTACAGGAGGTTTGTTCAAAATTTCTCCAAAATCGCTGTGCCACTTACCCAACTGACACGAAAATGAGTTGCATTCAAATGGTCAGAGGAGCGGGAGTCTGCTTTCCAAGAATTAAAAACAAGATTGACGACAGCACCAGTTCTGGCTTTGCCATCTGGTACTGAAGGATTCGTAATTTACAGTGATGCTTCGCACAAGGGGCTTGGTTGTGTGCTAATGCAGAATGGAAGGGTTATTGCCTATGCTTCTCGACAACTGAAACCCCACGAGAAGAATTATCCCACACACGATCTCGAATTAGCAGCAGTAGTTTTTGCTTTGAAAATATGGCGGCACTATCTTTATGGTACAACCTGCGAAGTTTACACTGATCATAAAAGCCTCAAGTATCTGTTTACCCAGAAAGAGTTGAACATGCGACAACGGCGATGGCTTGAGTTGATTAAGGATTATGACTTGCAGATCCAATATCATCCTGGTAAAGCTAACATGGTGGCAGATGCACTTAGTCGGAAGAATATGGGGGACTTGGCAAATCTGTTGGTAGAAAGAAAGGAGTTGTGGATCGAACTGGGTAAAATGAATATGGACCTAGTGGTTCGTGAACAGGAGGCCATACTAGCAGTAGTAAGAGCTCAACCCACCTTGCTGGAAGAGATTAAGTTACATCAACTGGAAGATGAGACTTTAAGGAAAATCTATGAAGAGTTAGAGGCAAAACCAAAATCGGGATTCAGTTACGTAGATTCGGTATTAAAGTTTCAAGGTCGAATATGTGTTCCCAATGTGTTGGAGCTTAAACGAAAATTGCTAGGAGAAGCACATGCCTCGAGATTATCAATACATGAACCGAGCCTCGGTGCATGCAACACAAGATGAATGGATGCAAGCATAAGGTATGCTAATTGAAACATGTCCCTAATCTAACCATCAAAAGCGGGTAAATAAAAGAGAGAAAGAGGTAGGGTTGGAAGACATGCATATTATTACATTATGCTCTCATGAAGGAGAGTTCAAATGAATAAGCTAGCTAACCAAGCTAAGGTAAGCTAATTAACTAATTATTACAAAACTTGAATAAATAACTAAACTAATTAATTAATTATTACATCACTTGAAATGAATAATTAACTAACTATCTAAGCTAATTAATTAAGAAAACTAGGCTAAGCTAATTAAATATTACAACACAAACCAATTAGCTACAACTAATTAGGCTAATTAAATATTACAACACGATTTATTTACAACTATGACAATAATACTAATAAAACAATTAATTGCATTTGATAAGAACATAATGGAAGATGGATGAAGGTTGCATGCGCATCGCTTGAAAGCTACTCTATCTGCCCAGGCCGTCTCTGTTTCACCTTCAGCCACTGTCTTTGTTTTTGCAAAATTGCACTGCTGGCCACACACCAAGGGCCGGCTGTGCATCACTAATAGCCGCCCGGGTCTACAGATGACCGGCCGTGCATCAATTTGGTGCAAAGCTCTGTTTTTGTGTTCCGAGGTGAAATTAGTGCAGATAGAGCATTCTCAAGCTCTGTTTGTCCTTCCTTCTTTTTCTGTTATGGGAAATCCTCGAAAGTAGGTTGGAATTGATTCCAAAGCCATCAATGAGCAATATTGATGATCTCGAACTCAATTTTGGACAAAAGTTAATAAAAAGTAAAGAGTAGGACCATCTCTCCCTCTTGTCATAGTATGAACTCAAAGAGGAAGGTTGCAACGCTTCAAGAATCATCAAAATGCAACTAATTAGCATGTGACAACTCTTGACACAAGTAACTTGACATAATATCCGGCCAAGTTGAGACAATTTAAACCATTTCCTTTGTGTGTTGATCCAAGTTTTAAACTAATTTTACTAGGCCTTGCCATTCATTAGTCCATTTGTCCATGGTGATGTTAAAGTCCTCTAAACAAGAAGAAATTTCAAACAAGAGGTTCTTCTAAAACATAAGAGAAAGACCACATCGTTGGCAATGAATCTTCGAAAAGATTAAGCCATTAAGTGGGAACCTTTCTTACATGATTCGAAACAACCTCAATTGGTTGAAATCATTCTCAAGTATAAAAGAGATGAATGATGGATTGATTATTAAACTTAGACTCTCAAACATGAAAACGAGTAAAAGAAAGCTATATAACAAACAACAAGTTACATATGCTAACTTATGAGATCACAAATGTACTAAACTATGCATGAACCAATTGAAAAGGCCTAGACAACTTCAAAACAACCCTTGATACATGGAAAACATAGGTAGAACATGCATGAAAAGATCTTGAAAATTAAGGCTAGTAAGCAAGAATAAGGAGGGGTGGCTAACCCCTCCACTTTTGAAGCTTCAAAATATGATTTTTAGTCTTTCTAAAATTCTGAAAATTAGTGTAAATATCAAAGGAAAAGAGTGGAAAATGGAAGGTTTAAGTTATAAGTAAAGGTATAGAAAGAGCAATCTCTCTCTACCATTTTGGTAACTCTTCAAACTCAACCCCAAACACTTCAAATAAGCTCAAAACAATTCAAAACAACAAGAACTATGAAGCAAGTGAAAGAAATGAAGGCAAGAGAGAAGAAAACAAGCTTATATCTTTCAAGGGGTAAGCTTGTTGTTGATGTTTCAAACTTGGTTTCAACTTACTCTCAAGCTTGAATTATGCTTCTCCAAGATCAACCAGGGCTCTAGAGTAGTAAGACAAGGTTGTATATGGAGTATAACGATGGTATAAACAACCTAGGTTAGCTCAAAGATGACTTGCAATGGAAGAAGGAGGAGGCAAGAGCTTTCAAGGTGTATATATGGTTTCTAGATTTTTGTTCAACTCTTAAATCAATCCCAGAGCTTCGTTTTTATAGAATTCGAGCTCAAAAGGTGATAAATATCTTCAAAAATGGATAGTTGGCTGCTTCCTGCCCAGAACAGTGTTTATCGCTATCAGGGGCCGACCGACCATTCATAGCCATGGCCGGCCATCGCTGATACACAGCCGGGCCTTGATGGCCTCCTCTGTTTTTTTCGGTTAAAACTTAGGTGGGAAAAGATCCAAAAAATGAAACTCACAGGTTCAAACAAGGTAAATATTGAAGATTTGAGGTTATTTTGGGTGGCTGATTGAATCCGAATCGCTGCGAATTCATAATTCAACTTTTATTATCGAGTGTATTGAACCAAGTGCCTAAGTCTTACGGGCGGTCAAAAATGAGGTGTCTACAATTGGTTTTTTTAGTCACATCACATTCCTACTTTTTTGTACGTCTTTTCATAGTAGTAAAAAAGAAAAAAACAAGTCATACTCAAAATAATCTGCTACCTTATTTGACATTTTTTTTAAGTAAAACAAATTTATACATGAACAACTAAGTTTGGCAATAGGTTTTTTTAGTTGACTTTTCGGTTTTTTACTATTTTAACTTGGGATTGAAAGTTCATTTGGTTGACTTTTGTGAAAAAAAAAATGATTATATTTTAGTTGTGACATTTTATTTATTAATTTTTTAGTCTATTTTAGGGGTGAGCAGCGGATATACCGATCCGTCCAAACAGATCAAACTGAACCGATCAGCTACAACTTGGGCGGATGCATGATGACGAGCGGACGGTTGCGGATTGATTGTTTCCAATCTGCCTAGTTTTGGACGAATGGCGGATTTGAAGTTTCTTTAGCCGTAACCGAACCGCCAAACCGCGAATACCCCTAATAATTTATAAGACTTTGTATTTTCAATTTATTTAGATAATCTATTTGTATTTTCAATTGAAAAGAGCTTAAATATTCTGTTAAAAAAGAGTTTTCAACTTGAATATATTTTTTGATTTTTAAATCTAACTCTAAAAATAATAAATAAAAAAAATGATATATGTTGGTTGATTTTTGTTTCCAAAAACAAATATAGATGTAACAATACAGAGGCATACAATTTCTACTATTGCTCTATTTATGGTTTTGGTGGTTTGAATTGTTTTTATATTTTAAGAATCACAGATTGTAATACTTTATGTGGATGAGGTATGCAGTGATTGTAATACTTTTTTTTTAGGAAGGGCACAAGTTGAATTATGTTGTAATTTCATAAAATTTTAAACCGCCAAACCGATTCGCATCCATCAGCCAATCTATGCAATTCACATTCGCCGGATTGGCGGACGGATACGGATTGATTTTCTCTAATCTGCCAATTTGGTGAACGGATGATGGATTA